TTTTTTTTTTTTTTATAGTCCGTTCGGGTTTCAGAAATATTGTTTTTGCGCGGGATTAAACGCCCCAAGTTCCCACCCCGTTTTCCGTCGACCCAAAAAGTTTTAGGGAGAGGGAGACAGGGGGGGGGGGTGTATTAATAGTCGGGCATGCAGGGGGTAGCCCTTGGCCCTCGCATCCCGGAAAACCCGGGAAGGGACCACCCGGGGTTTTCACGGGACCCAAGTTCTCACATCCCCAAGCGGGAAGCCCCGTGAGGTTTTGGGGGAGTCCCACGGGGGTTACGCTTTATCCTGTTAAGAGAGACGGGGGGGGGGGGGGGGGAGGACAGAGTGTTCATGCATTCCATTGCAGAGCGTGAGCTAGATTAGACGTCACTAGTGCAGTAAAGGTGACGGCATCTACTTTCAATCGTTTGTCAAGTGTGTTGCGTGCGGATTTGGGTTTCGGGTATATACTAGTAGAAGTGCTTCTAGATGTTTTGGTGAGAAAATTAAGTCGGCTGCCAGCAGACTCGTGGTCCGATGTAATAGACCAAGTTAACGGCGCCCGCTCTTGTTAAGGTTGTGCTTCGGGCTGGTGTGCGCCGAGCTGCCGGTCAATGGCAGACGAGTGTCGATCGTATCCATCTTCAGAATGTCTGCACTCGGCTTCACGCCGTGTGCAGCGACTGCGGGTGCCGCGTGTTGCTTCTGGATTGGCTAAGACGTTTTGAGCAACACTGCTTGTTGACAAATTAAATGAACGCACACATTTGCAGCTGTTGATACGAACGCACACATTTCGTTACTGTGGATACCTACTCGTTCGGATTTTTCTCGCGTCTTATCTCTTGCGTAAGTTCTGAGGAGGGTACCGTCCCAGACAGGGCAAACGTAAAACTGATTGCACAAGCGTCGCACTTTTGACGTGACCCTGTGATGACGTGATGACATGACCGCTGTACTTGACGCTCTGCGGCGACAGTCCGGACACACGAACGGGAATCAATCGTAGAAACACAGGTAAGGCCCGCTAAAGCTAATATATCTCAGATCTGAGGAAGACATGTGTCTTCTTCTCTCAGCGAAAAAAAAATAAGCCCAGTTTCCAGTCGGTTTCAATCCTCTTACTGAAAACACTTCAACACATCCCTTTCGACTGAGGTATCTCGAACGGGTAGTCTTCTGTGAGGTTATGTTTACTTTCTAAACAAAAAATTCGCCGCACAGTTCACATGTCTGTGGTTCAAGAGTTCAAGATGGATGTGCCACTCGGCGGTTCCTCAGGAGAACGACAACAATAGACTACGGCATCACGGGCCTTGCCCGCGGCAATGTTGTTCAGATGGTCGTTTTAGTAGACTCTCTTATCTTGCTTTAGGATAAAATCGATCGAGAACAGGCAATGTTATTTGCAAGTCAACGAGACCACTCTACTTGGCTAATTCTTAACAACTTGTATTTCAAGAGAAAAACCCGATAAGCCAAGCATCAAAACATTTTTCAATATTAATAAACTTCTCCCGCATCATCGTATGCATAACTTGTTTCACCGTACATATATACATCCAACCAACTGATTCAAAAAAGACAACTCTCTATCAAGAAACGACCAACACACTAAAAACAATGGTAGATGATGAGCGCAATAAACAAATCTAGATCGACGGTACAACTACTTTCCGCCGCCCGTGTGGCCACCACCTTGCACTGCCGTTTGCGCAGACACCGACAACCGAACGAACCGGAGTTCACACATGCAAGCAGGTGGATATACGGGCAATTACAGGCCTGCAACCTACATGTTTCATGGACACCCAGGGCACGCAACGCAGTTAATCGCGCAGGTGCAAGAAATAATGCGTCAACGCCGAGTACATCGCAAAAAGAGAAAGAAAAGACACGATTCACAAGTACAGAGGGCGCATTACACCCTACAGCCGCCTGTTTCACCCACCACGCCGACATATTTCCCCATCATGCTACAACGGCCGGCGCCATCGTGTTGTTACAGTCCGCCACAAGGGCTTATCGACACACGCTGGCTCCCATGCAATACAGTGGTATGATACGCACCGCCTTCTACCCACGAAGAAACCCTTCTCGTTCAGTACAGCATGAAACGCCCTGCCGGAGTTTACGCACGAAAAGAAAAAAAAACGCATCCATGTCCAAAACAAAAGGGGCTAAGAAAGGGGGGCACATACGCATGCAACCAAAACACAGTATCATACCACGCTCAGGATTACAAAGGGTTTGCGGTCTTAGCACACCCCACCCGAACCCATGAAGCCTGCGCGCAGGGGCAGGCGTTGCTTCACGAAGCACATATTGTCATCGCTTCACACTGATGCCGAACTAACGATCCTGCGGTGCCCCTTCTCAGCGTGTGTGTATGCCAACGACGGATCGAGTTTGCAGCGACAGTTCTCCCAAGGCACACTCGTGGCGTCGCGCTCGCGGGCAGCTAAACTGACCGGCTGTTGCACGAATGTCAGCACACAAAACATACGCGCGCATACACTCGCACTCGTTCGTGCATCACACAGGCGCTTCTACTCGGTGCTTCGTCGCCGCTTCCACGTCAAAGCTTTCGAGCGCGGAACAAAAAAATAAACAAAGAGCTCTCACAACTAACAGCCACCACCCCCCCCCCCTCCCCCCGGCACACCGAACGTAGCACAACAGAAACATCAACCAATTGAACCTCGCCGTGCAGAAATCGTGCTCTCCACGAAACAAGATGAGATAACACGCCGCAAAAGGAGAGGACTCCACACGAAACACGAAAACACCCCAAGAACGCAACGAACGTCCTAAGACGGTCCAAGCGTGAACTGGAAGGTACCGTCATCCCTGTTCGGGTCGAAAGACATGCCGGTGGCGAGGCCCGGGTTCGCCGGTGGGGGTAGGTCATCGCCTCCGTCACGGTCCGCGGCGCCCCCCCCACCCGGCTGCCCCGCGAGCCGCTGGCGGGCAGCCTGCTGCCTCTCCGCCCCGCTCCTGTCCTCGTACGACGCTCGCCGCGGGGGATTGTTGTACCCCCCCGGCGCCGCGACCGTGGACAGAAGCGCAAGGTTGTCGCGGGGCTCCGACATGTACTTGACGCCCACGCTCGGAGCGGCCGACGGCATCGGCCCCGGATGCAGCATGCCCATGGAGCGAGGGCTCGTGCAGTTGTTGTCTTCCTGCCGCGGGGAAGGGGATCGAACGTCGCCGCCGTTACCGCCGCCGTTGCCGCCCATGCGGTGGACGACGTTTGGGCTGGACGCACGCGGCGACGAGGCGATAGTCGGCATCTTCCGCACCCGGTCGACCCAGTCGCTCGGCGCCGCGGCCGCGTTGCTTCCCAGCAGCACCGAACGGTGCACGCCACTAGAACAAGAAGAAGAAGGAGCTCCCGCGGGCGCCGCCCCCCCCCCGCTCCATCTCGGCAACGAGGCCGACGATTCCCTGCCGCTCGCCCCGCCGGCGCTGCTGCTAGGGATGGGCATGGCGGCGCCGCCGGTGGTTGGTTGCCAGCTCTGGCTCGCGATGGCGGCGCGAGAGAGCGGTCGGACGGAGCGGCGGGGGGGAGGCGACATGGAGCCCGATCTGGAGCGATCTCTGTTGTCGTTGGCCGCCTGGGGGGTGACATGACAGGTTAGGTCGAGAGAGGGGGGGCAGCAAGGATGCGGAAGGGCATGGTTGCGTTGTGTTGCGTGAGAAAAGGACAGCAGTCGGGGAAGTGCCTCGCATGCCGTGGGTCGCTTGAGATAGCACACCACCTGAATCTAATTTCAAAGCTCGATTCTACTCCACGACGAAGAAAACTCCAAAACCAACTGATGCGGTTTCGGAAAAAGCTCTGGACGAGACCGTTCCAACGCTGCCATTTTCGGCACCGTCATTGGTCTCGCTGCCAAGTGGTCGAGCTTTGAAAGTCGGTCTACGGGGTGCGGTACCTTAACATTCAAGTACGAGCCGCCTCGGGAGTAAGGCAATTGGCCGGTGGTTCATGCCCCAGAAAATCGCGTGCAAGACAGCAATGCCGGAGACGGCACGGCAAACAAGCCGGATTAAGTAATCCATAGATTTTCAAGTCAATAAGCAATTTCCAACAACGGGCAGACGATATGATCACAAGACGAGCAAGTGTGGCACCCAAACAAACAAAAGAACGGCCGCAGGATAGAAAAGCAAACCACCTCGAGCACAAAAAGCAACACCCAGCTAGTTCCGTAGCAGCTACATGTACCAGTCTCCCACGCCAGCGCCAGCCCTCTCACCTCCGACAAGACGTCTCCACCGCTATCGCCGCCACCACCGGCGCCCGCAAACGCCGCCAGGATGTCGTCGCCAAACGCGCACCACCCGCCGCCGCCCCCCGTCGCCGCCGCAACACCACCGGCACCCGGCTTCACCGCTTGCGTCGAGCGCGCGAAGCTCAGCTTGGTCACCGCCGCTCCCAGAGCTTCGACGTGCACCCCCTCCGGCGCCGGCCGAGAGGAGCGCTCCGCGGCGGCTGCGAGCAGCCTTCGGGAGGCCTCGGCCAGGGTGAAGGTGAGCGGGAGGTGGAGGACGGCCGCGTGCCGGTCGATGATCGCGAGCATGAGCCTGCCGGAGGCCTCCGCATCCTCGGCTTCGCCACGAGCCGCATGCGTGAAGGCTGCGTGTGCCGGAAAGGTTGGGATATCGTTGTTCTGGGTCAACGAGAGAGCAAGCAAAACACTGCTGCGGGAGCATGATTCGGCAAAACCCGTCGCGTGTAGCTACACAACCCGGGAGGGGGACACGCGTCCACGCTACATGCGCAAGGGTAAAGCAGTCTCAAGTGCTAGTGCCCCCGCACCATTTGCACCCCAGCGATGCTTTTTTTCTTCTCCCTTTCCCTCCCTCCCTCCCTCTCAGGAAGGAACGATTGGGCATCGGTGATTCGGTCCTGTGGGAACAACGCTCCGTCCTCTCGAGGACGCGTGGTCACAAACGCTAAGCATGCAAAACATGAAGAGTCGCCCCCCCGCCCCCCCCCCTCCCTCTCTCACCCCTGAGGCCGTGGAGCAAGGCCAGGACGTGCTCGGGGTTCCGGTTGCCGTCTCGAGCGTCGGCCTCGAGAGCCTTGGCAGCTTTCGTCAGCAAGTCGGTCAACACCTTTTGGACGGACAGTCAAAGGGGTAGGTCAAAATGGACCAATTAGGACAAGTCATGAGTTAGGTCAACACTGGACCAATAGACTCGGAGAAGTTCATAGAGGTATGTCAAAATCGCCCAATAGAGTAAATACCACGAGGGAGATCGACTACCGAGAGGACGCCTGTGAGATCGAGATAAAGGGATCAAGGCGTACAAGCAGAAGCATCGTCAGCCAACGCATCGAGTTCTTGCCCGAACACAAACACCGAAAACACGGAGAGACATACGCAGACACACAAGCGCTGCACAAGCTGGGATGCAAACTCAGCTAGCCCCCCTAGCCGAACTTAAGAGCCCCTTATTATAGCCGAGGATCGGTTCTTATCGTCCCTATGCATACATACATACGAGGTACTCCAATCGCGACTATCATTACAATAGTGTAGGCTTCTTGGCTCAACAACTGCTGTCCTTGCGGCCAAGTTCCTAAGTTTTGAGCCTAGATTTCGGGTTCTGAAAGTGTGGTCGCTAGCCGTACCTTCGACGGGGCTACACGGGGAGACAGGCCGCCGGCTCCGATGGCACCCTGGCCGCCTCTGCCTGCCCCGTCGTGGAGCATCTCGTTGCAGGCTACCGTGAGCGCCGTTAGCGCCAGGACAAAGGGGTCAACGCCGGGCCTGCAGCTGTTGTCCCGCAAGGACACCCCCCACACCGCTTGGTCTTTCACTTGGAGGGAGAAGGAACCCACCTGCAGCGGCGCGCACACACGATTCATTAACGCTGAGCCATCTTTTGAGGCACGAAGCAGTACCCCTAGAGGATTAACGCTGTGCCGTCTTCCAGGCATACAGAGGGACTGTAACCCTAACGCTGAGGGTAAAGAGGCCCACCTGAATCCAGATCGAGGGTCATCGTCACCAAGGAAGCGACGAAGGCCATTGCTGGACCCAAAGAGGAGTTCCCTTGTTAACGAAAACCAAGCAAAACCCCAAAGAAACACGAAGTGCGTACCATCACTGAGGGCAAAGAGGCCCACCTGATCCAGATTGAGGGTCATCGTCACCAAGCAAGCGACGAAGGCAATCGTGTGTCGCAGCTCCTCGGGCATCAGCGACCCTAGCTCTAGCCCCACTTGCTGAGCAAAGCCGAAGTACCTCGCGACCTGTGCAACCAGCCCCGCGTCATGCAGAGGAAAGGAAACGGGAAGAGTTAACCAAGTCTCCCGAAAGAAACACGAGGGGCCCGCGTCGTATGTACATGTGCATCGTGTCGTGTTAACCAACACCACATCGAGTCGCGCCTCCACGCCCCTCACTCCCGCAACACGTTTTCCCCCTGGCTGCGCTCAGTCTGCCGCCGCCGCACGAAGACGAGTCAAGTCGCGGGTCGCGTCCCACAAAGCCCTGGCGGAGGGCGTCAACCTAACGCTACCAACGGCCGGGCGTCTCAAACCGAAACTCGTATTGGGGGTATTCGACCGCGTCGAGCAATAGCGCGCTGCTGTGGAGCCCAATGCGTATGCGCTCCGGGCGAGTAGAGCCTGACGTGTCCTTCCAACGATGAGCAGCTACAATATAAGCCCCGCGTGCTGCAGCTGCGCACAGACCCGATACCACCGATTGCTGTTGTGGGCGCGCCAACGGCTTCGGAGTGGCTCACCTTTCTTGTTTCCATGGAGTGCATCCAGAAGAGGCAGAGAAGGAGCATCACGGACGCCACCTGAAGAAGAGTTAAGTTATTTGGGTCCACGACGGTGCATCCGAGGGATGGCAGGATCACGGGTCATTGCCACTGCTGCTCTGGCGCCACTTTCAACGCAGAAAACTACGCACACCTTTGCTTCATCAAATAAATCAGAGCACGCGCGCTCGCACTAACATTACTGGCACGGCAGCAAGGAGCAGCAGCACACAAGCAGCACCAACAGAACAAATACAGCACGTAATGGTGTGCTGCATGTTCATCAAGACGTGTTTGTTGTGTCGGGTGGTATGCTACAAGATCAGGCATGCATGTGTTACCGTTCTGAAAACAATACTCATTTGGATACGTTCTAACTTTCAGTCTTGGGGACGCAAAATTTTAAAAAGCGGGTATCGTATTACCTAACAAAACGCCGCGGGGTACTACCCCAGCAGCACAAACACAGCACGCGGGGGTGATTGTGAATGAATACTCTCAAAGGCAAACGGCAATAACAAAAACACTACAGGCTACACGCACCTCCGGCAGGGGTGCATCCAGGCACCGAGACAGGGCCCCCATCGCGCGAGACTGGTAATCCTTGCACTCCTCCTCCGAGGCTCCGCTGAACTGAGCGCCGACGGCAGCGGCCGCCCACGCCTCCGCTCTGCACGCTTCGGCGAACACGTCCACGATGCCGCCATCCTCCTCGGCGGCCACCGGCCGCCCTTCCCGCTTAACTCCGACATCCTCAGCGCTGCCGGGATCCGCGGCGGTTGGTGCATCCGGCAACTGCTCCGGATCCCCACCGCCGGCGTCTCCAAAAACAGCGCTCCGGATAGCGCCGGCGCCGGGCAGGAGAATAAGGGAGCCCACGGTCCGCATGAAGGTCTTCAGGTGGGTCTTCGACCGGCCGTCCAAGGTCATCGGGAGCGACCTCCTCGGAGGCAGCTGTTGCTGCTGCGGCAACGGGGCTCCCAAGGCGGAGGAGGCGTGTTGCCTCCCCTCGCTGCCGCCGTCCTGCTGTCGCATGAAGGTGCTCCCCATCGACCCTTTCGGGAAGAAGCCAGCCTGGACGCCTCCGCCTCCGCCGCCTCCGCCCCCGGCCTCCCCGAAGCCTCCCGGGGTGTCCCCCATAGACTTGGCCCGTGCGGGTAGGTCTCGGACGGGGCACGACGGCGGGGTCGAAGAAGGCGCCCCCCCCCCGGCGGCAGCACACAAGGGCGGCGCCGACCGCGACGCCACCAAGCTATCCCGAGCGCCGCCGCCGCCGCCGCCGCCGCCGCCCGGCTGCTGCCTCGAGGTGTGGTCTATGGCCGCAGATAGGCTCGACAGCGTCGCCCCCGCCGCTACCGACGACGACGGGGGGAAGCCGGGTCGATTGTTCGCGCCGCCTCTGCTGGCTCCGTGTTGGTTGTGGTGCGGGGGGCTCGTGCCGCCCCCGCCAAGGAAAGGCGAAACCCCTTCCGCGTTCAGTCCCGGGATCGCCGTGTATCGGTTGTTGCCGGAGGCGGCCGCGGCGTGGTGGCTGTAGGCGGCCTCCCCGCCGCCGTGGCAGCTGGAGCTGATGCTGGCGTTGATGCTGGCGCTGATGCTGGCGCTGCTGCCGCTGCCGCCCGTGTCGGAGAGGGTGGGCGCGATGAGCTCGACCAGGCCGGACAGGCTGTCGCTCGTGATGGGCCCCCCGAACTTGGGGTTGGACACGGGGAGGCCACCGCCGCCGCCGCCGCCGCCGGTCATGTTGTTGCTGCTGCTGTCGAGGCCGGCGATCGTGCCGATGGGGGGCAAGGGCGGCGAGGGCGGGTGCGGCACGCCCGCGTGCTGTTGGTACACGGCAGCCTTGTGCTCGGGGCTGTCCTTGATGGCAAGGCCGGCTTGCTGCTGCGCGTCCATGCCGGTGCGCGGCCGCTTTTCATCTTCCGCGCGTGCCTTGGGGCCGCATCGCCGACGCTTGCTGTTTTGGTGTATGTATAAGCATAGGAACGGGGCGGAATACGGCTGTTGGGGCTCCGACAGTAGTAAAGCAGAGAGTTTCCGCAGCTTGGCGGTGAAATTTCGAAACTTTTCGACGGTAGAAGCAGTCAGCGCCCGCCGGGATTTGAAAACGCTGTCATAAAACAGGGCCCGCGACTGAACTCAACGGTAATAATTCAAGCCCTTTCTTCACCGCCCTCGGTCTTGTGATGCAGATGCAGAGATGCACACTTTTTGTCTCGAACTCTATTTAATACGGTAGCATACAACCATGTGCAGACAGGTATTTATCGCTGCTTTTGTACTTGATCTTATGTTTTATATGCCACGCAACGTTGCCCACGCAGCAGAGAGAATAATCGATGTGCGATTCGCCCCCAAAAAGAGCGACCGAATTAGCACCCCGACAAAACACCTCACATCAATCCCGAGCCTTTTTTGCAAACGTATCCATCTACCGTCCGCTGCTGCTGTAGTGGACAGCAGCAATGGCATGCCAAGAAATTTATCAAAACTGTCAGGTTCCACCCAAGTCGGAACGTCGGAACGCACCCAAGCTTCTTTTCTTGTGGAATGTTTCACACAATCCTAATCCTGTCGAGCGTAGAGCGGGCGTAGCAGGACAGGACCCAATGACCGAGTATGATAGTGCTTGATGCGAGAACCGGAGCCGCAAACCCCTCACGGACGTCGCATGTATTGCATGCACGTGCATACGCATATTCCAAGTTGTGAACTCATGTGCAGGTTTTCGGCAACAAAAATAAACTCACGAGACCGATCGATCATCGTATCATCGTAAGAAAAGAAAAAAGTGCTGGATGAGAGCGAGCGTCGAAAAAGAGCGAGCATCGGGTTCAAACCCATGCATCACCTGGTACTCTCTTCTCACCAATGCATAATAGTAGCGATATTGTAAGCTCCATGTAGGTAGTAACAACAGCCTCACGAGCAACCAGTGTACGTGTCGCACTCGTATGCACAAGACTACGCTCGGGCCGATGTACCATTTGAACTTGCGAAGACGGAGACGGGCGAACAAAGCGATAAAGAGGCACCAGCCTAGACCTTGGCTGTTGCTGCTGATTCTGCTGCCGCTGCTGCTGTGCTACAGAGGTGTGCTTCGACCCGCGCTACAAGCACACGGTCCTCATCTACATAAAGTCTCATTCATGTCTGTGTGCGTTTCTCTCCTCTCGTATTGTACAAATATGCCTCTCTGGCTCTCTGAGACAAACTGCTTTCGACACGCACACTGCCCTCCCTGCCTGCGCACCCAACAAACTTCGCACTCCCGGCAGGTGGCCTAACTTTTGGGTGGATCTCTCAATGCGTGCGAGGCAAGCCGACACGGGTCCGACCCTCACTGCCGAGTGACCTAATCAACGCACTCTCGGCTGCCGCAGCCTCTTGTTTCTGCAACACCCTGCCAACTCCTGCGAACTGCTGTGGTGCTTTCCTGTGTCACCACAGGGTACAAAAATTTGTACTACACTCAAGGCAGATACACCACAGAACGAAACAAAACTCGAGCGGCTTCGTTGCTGTCTGTAGGTACCAACAATCAAGACGACCTGCTTCTCCAGGGAGAAGGCAAGCGAAGGAGAGGCCTCCGCCACCCACACACCCATCCCCCCTCACCCACCTGAACTTGCACTCTATCCTCCTCTTCTTACACCGGTCACAAGGAATGCTGCCCTGGCACTTGGTCTTGGACGACGTGCACGTGTCGCACGACTTACGAAGAGCACCGCGAGAGCCTCGCCGCCACCCCTCCGTGGGGTCTGGCGCGATCCTATCGGGGTGGATCATGGCCGCTGTTTTCGTCGCGGTGCTGCTGTCGCTGTTGTTGCTGTCTTCGGCCATGGCGCGTGTGAGAGACCGCCAGGTTGTTGTGCGTAAGGAAAGGTCCGGAAAAAAAAGGAAGCACAACCAGAGACTCTTCGGTCGCAGCTATACATTTTCCAAGACAAAACCGGGGTATTTTAGCCAGCGTTGGTCGTTACCGGATAGCTAAATACCCCGGACAGAGATCCAACAGCAGTTCACGGTTGGTGAAAAACTATTCTCTTCTCGCTGACTCCTTTCTACGTGACTGCTGCTGCTTCGTGTTGTTGACACACCAGCCCGTAGCTCTGCTTTCGTCTCGAATCATTTTCCCAGGGCCGTGATCGTGGTGTCACTACCGTTGTATGTCTCTTCGTACCCGACTCCGGGAGACTAGCAGAGTACGAGGCTCCGTGAACACCAGTGTATACGTATATAAAGAGCGTGTGGTCAATCAAGGAAGTCGATCCGGTCAAAGTAAGCCCGCAACGTGGAGATCAAAGCACACCACGGCGACTTGATGAAACCTTGACGGCAGTACATACCGCTCTCGACAAATTGCAACAAGTAGTTCTCTCCGAGAGCCTAACTCGCCTACAGGCAGCAATCGCCTTGGTTCACCACTCATCGCTGTAGGGGGGACTCTGCCCTACCTCTACGTCCGCGAAAGACCCACAGCAGTGGCAACAGCCGTACGTTCAAGCTTGACACGTTGACTATGAAGTATTATTTGGGTGATCTACAAATGTAGTCCGCCCAGATTTCGGAAATAATACTATTGCGTCGTTGTGTTGGTGTTCAGCCGTACAAGACTATTAAAAGATTAAATATGATAGTCAGTAGTCAGTGCGCTTGCAGTCGCTAAAACTTCTTCGAGCGGTTCCCATATAATGTTCGCGACAGCGAGCCTGCTTGTTGTTTGTGGCAAATTTCAGCAGCAGCATGCATACTGAGACAGCAAGCAGCGTTTTTCTGTCTCTCGTGGTCATCGCCCGTCCACTAGCTATTATTAGAGTCCACGAGTGAGTCCACATGCGCGTCAGGTTTACCATTGGCTCAGGTCCGCACAAAGAACGTTAGCTGTCAGATCTCACATACATGTACTTCAAGGAGTTAATCAAGAACGCCATGGTGTAGTATATCTACGTACATAGAGTTAGAGTGTGTTGCATAATAATACTCTTGAATAATAACAAAAAAAATGGTGCGTTTTGGACGGTGGCGACGAATTACTACAAAAAGCTGATGAGCGTCAACCGCTTGACCGAAAAACACGGTGGTTCTTCTCTTATCCCACATATCATCATCAGCCACATTGCTCTCCCTCTGATGATATACCTATGTCTAGCCTCGTTCCTTACCTGTTCACTCGCATGTTCGAACCATCGTCAGCGCAGCATCTGAATGGAAAACTCCTTGGGTTTGCGGGCATGACCTATTGAAAAAAAGCAGTAGTCTACGGCCAATTATCGATCAGCATCCCGATCACGCACACAAGCTCAGTACCTCTGTAGGGCGAGGCTAATACACCTTCTTCTTGAGGAATTTATTTCACCAACCGAGCAGACGCCCCCCCCCCCCTCCCCATACACCCAGAGACTTCAGGCAGAGTGTGGTCGGGTACTGGATGTACGAGCCCGTCACTACACTCTCTACTATTAATTATTTTATTCATTCTTCGTAACACAAGTAAGTGCAATGTACCGGCCAGACTGGCTCTCATAGCTTGACTGCTCCATAAAACCAAAGGCTATCTACACCAGACCATCACGCTTGCCGAAAAGGGTGTGCGCTTGAAAGATCTCGTCGAGAGCTGCCCGTGGACCTTTCGGTCGGTTTTCGCACACTCTTGGTTGTGAGCAATCGAGATATGAACGTGGGGGTTGTCATCACTCGCACAACTCCGGTGTATTGAAGCACGTAGACTGGCTACCAGGGCCACCAACGGAAAATATCAATTTGATCTGTAACGAGAGCAGCTCGGCTCGAGAAAAAGCGGTCAAAATCAAGGGCACACTCAGAGATAAAGAGCTCCAGGTCGAGGTAGATAAAACCCTAACCCATGCCTAGGCAACAAAGGCGGAGAGAAAGCAACTGCACCTAGTCTTCGTACGTATAAAGAAAGACGAAAGGTAGACTATCATACTGAGGATACTGTTACTCCGCCCCGATACTACATGGTTCCTCCTCTACCAGCCGCTCGGTAGAAGTGTCCCAACGTGCTCCTGACTCTTGTGCCATGATGCCAGCTCTCCGTCCCCAATAGAACCTTGCTACTGTAGGGGGACAGAAAGATAAACTGCGACCAAGGGGGCACTTGGGAAGGACCCTATCTC